AAGGGGCGGGGCGGGGAGGGGCCCCCCGCGGGGACTTCCCCAGCGGGACCCCGGGGGCACCGGGGCCCTCCTGCCATCACGGGACGTGTCAGCGAGTAAAAAAAGAAGGAAGGATTTATTGTGCAATCGGCGTCTTTTGCCCCAAACTACATACACGCCCTAGACAACATAAATAGAGGGACCGGACCGGCAGTGAGGGTCCCGTGTGATGGGCAGGGGTGGAAGATGCTGGTTCCTCGAAGGAGGGCTACAGAGCCCCTGTTTACGTCAACATACACAACGCAGTGTAGGTGCAGGCAGCACACACATATACATACTCATACAGATTTGTACTGGGGTGGCATCAGCCGTAATCACGTTACACACAGGGCGCCTCACACCTCGGGCAGCTCCGCGGCTTTGGGGCCTTCCCAGGGGCCGAGCCCCAGCTCTGCCAGGGCTCCCACCTCCCGGCCAGCGACAGGCCCAGGGGTGGCTCTGAGCACAAAGGGATCCATCCTCACGGCTCCCTTCCTTCAGCAGGGCCACAACACGGCTGGGGGAAGGCATCCCTTCAGCCCAACCGCCCTGCCCGGCCCGGGAGGAGCCGTGACCAGAGGTGCCCCATCCATAAGATTCCTGCCTCCTCCAGCCTTAATCTTGTCTTCAGAGCTTTTCCTCTCAAAACCACCTCTGTGGTGAGGACGCGCGTTAAAGCTCCAAGCAAGAAGTGCCACCTCACAGCTGCTTCCTTGCACCAGCCCAGGGGTCCGCAGGCTGTCTAACCTCTCCTGTAATTCATGGGGAAACAATCATAGAGCAGTATCAAAGGACTGCACGGCTTGCTTGTGTTCCAGCATCAAGAAGGCATCACCATCCCAGGAAACAAAGTAGAGTGGTTGGTGCTGGCCCTCACGGAGCAGGCCGGCTGCCTGGGCAGGCCAGTCCTGTCTGTGATGGCTCAGATGAGACCAGGAAACAAGCAGGAACTAGAAAGGGGCCTCATGGGGAGCTCAGCTCCCTGCCAGAGCCCACTAGCCAGCACCTGTGCAACCCCAGGGGTCCCCCTGCTCCCTGCCAGAGCGTACACCATAGGCAGGGGCTCTGCTGCAAAGAGATGGCACTGAGTGAAATAACACCAAGGGGCTAGCCCTTGGAGGAGGCTTTGGGATCATCAGCCATCACAGCTCCCTGGCACCAGGGCTGGGTGAGCCTGGAGGCACATGGGGATGGGGTTTTTCAGCAATCATACAGTGTGATCTGGGAAATCCTTTGGACTGGTACAGATACTGTAGATGTGGGGAACCACACAGCAGAGCCAAAGGGGTCTAGGGCCAGGCTGCTGCTTCTGGATCCACAGGTGAGGGGCCAGGCTGCTGAGTGCACCCACCCTCTGTCCCCAGCTCCGTGTGGCCCCTGACTGCAGACAGGATGGTGGCACTGTGGCAAAACAGCAGGGTGGCAATGACTGAGCTGAACAGGCCTGGGATGGGGCAGCAGCAGCCATGCCAGGACAGGCTGCACCTCTCCTGGGAATATGGGGCGAGATGGCTCCACACACCCCACAAGGGGGCAGCAACGTCTCCTGCCACCCTGGGGCTCCCCCCTCTCCAAAATGGCAACTCCAAAAACCAGCATGTGTTTGGGAGAGCCAGCCCCCCCTGCTACTCGAAGGACAGCAGGTCAGGATGAGGCCCCTCCACCTCCCGGCCAGGGGTGCATGGCTCTGGCTGCCCTGTGCTCCCTGCTGGCTCAAGCTCCAGCCCCAGTCTCCGGGAGGGCTTCTCCAGGTGGAGGGAGGTCTCAGCCCCCCTCTCACCCCCTCGCCGCTGGCTCTCCAGGCTGCCCTTATGGATGAGGTCGGGCACAGGGAGGGCACCAGTGGACTGGTCCCCACTCGGCTCTGGGGTGCCAGTTACACTAGGCATCCCAGGGCACTCCGGAGGAGAAAGATCCCTCGACCCTGGCTGCTCCTCTGTGGGGTCAGGGTGGGCTGCAGGCAGTTCAGGGGGCTCCTCCAAGCTGCTGCTTGGGCTGGTCCCTGCCGGCTCTGGCGCAATGAGCATGTCCTGCGGGGTCTTCAGGGCACGGGGTGTCCGCTTCTTGGTCACTGGGGGTGGGGGGTCCAGCCGGGGGAAGACATCCAGCCCCACAGCCCTGCAAGGGCAGAGGAGAAGTCACGCGCAGCCCCATGCAGAGGCTTCTCCCGCCTGTTCCGA